TTTTTTTATTGCCTGGTCCTTGTAATTTTTATGATTGTTTTATTTAAGCAGTTGGTTTCCAGTCTCCTTAAAGTTTTTTTTGTCCGGCCGGTGTGGCTCAGTGGTTGAGCATCGACCATGCACCAGGAGGTCACCGGTTCGATTCCTGGTCGGGACACATGCCCAGGTTTGGGCCTGATCCCCAGTGAGGGTAATGTGGGGGTCGCCAATCGATGTTCTCTCTCCTATTGACATTTCTATCTCTCCCTCTCAAATCAATAAAGGAAAAAAATTTTTTTAAGTCTTTAAATTACTATTCAGACTTTTCTATAGTTTAGTCATACCAAAATTAAGGATTCTTAGTTAGGAGAATAGAAAGCTTTTTCCAAAAATATTAAGGTTACCGTTGCCTACTCCTTCCTTGATGTGTTCACCTTATTTGTTTAAACAATGGTGAGATAGTTCAAAGAATAATGAACTAAGGAAAACAATGGAGATCTAGATGTCTGGACTGAAATTTGTTGAGGTTCAGCAGACAGTTAGAGAGGCTTTTTTATTTTTTATATCTGAAAGGAGGCTTGTTGTCATTTTTCTCTTTAGTATTGACTTGTGAACATCCAGGTACTTCATGTGTTGTGTGTGGGATTAAATCCTAGTACCAGTATAGATTACTACCTCTTTTCCACAAATCAGATTATCATATGTTCATGGAGTTAACTTTTATTTTGTCAGTGTGAATTTAAGATCAATCTGAAGTTGGACGAGAAAAAGGTAGAGAGTTAATTTTTGTTTGGAGTCTTCTCTTATTTTAGAGTGTGTACTACCAGTTAATTGAGAGTGTGGAAATCTGCCAATATATAGTAGGGGTTGTCAGACTTTTTCTGTAAAAGGCCAGATAGTAGTTTTTTTTTTTTTTTGCTTTGCTGATCAAAAAGTAAAATTGAACATATTACAGTTATTTATATAAAGACAGAGAAGCCAAATTGCCACAAAGTTTTTTCTTGATAAAACTCAAAATGTAAATAAAATAAAATAAAATTCAATTTTAATGCTGAGTTTATAGTAGAAATAAATGTTAGTAAAGATGTTTCATATTACTCCCCCCCCCCCAGATAAGTCAGATTTTAGGAAACAGAATGGTATACAGAATTCTGAAAAATTATTATTCTAATCAACAAAAGCAATAGTTCATACCTTTTCCAGAGGCAACTTAGAAATACATGAACAGGATTAGACATCCTTGATTTTTAAGAGCAATATAAATGCTGCTGAATTCCAAGGGGGAGATGGGCAGATGTATGAGTTACACACCCAGTCACATGCATCAAAAATTAGAATGACGAAGAACTGGATCCCAGCAAGGATTTCAAACATGTACAGTCCTGCCTTTGTGAAGGGTTCCTCATTAAAAAATTAAAAAGAATCTCTCTAAGAACACAGATGCCAGTAAGAAGGAAGAATATTGAATCAACTCTAGGAATTGTATAGAGGTTTTATAGCTTGTGAACTTTTGAGGAAATATTTAATTACATTTGTTAAAAGAATTTTATTGAAGTGTAATTAATATACCAAAATATTGCATGTTTAATGCCTTCAATTTGATGCATTTGGACATAAGCAAACACGTGTGATGCTATCACCACAATCAAGGTAATAAACCTATTCATCACCTCCAAAAAAAATTACAAACTCAAAAATGTAATAATTTGTACAATGTTTTGTAATAATAGATCTACTACTGAGAAAAATGGCATTTGGGGGGGATAACATTTTACTTAATTGGGGCTAAACATATTCCTTATCAAAACCATTTGCAGATATCCTCTGGTGCTACTGACTTAAAATGAAGTTTTCTGTATTATTTGAAAGTGTCCTTTCACATATATAGGTATTGCTATCTGATCAGTACACAAGCATATAATTTTAATGAAGCATATTCATCCCTTAGAAGGCATTTATAGAATTCTGTTAAATTCTCTTGGTATTTCCCTTTTAGCATATCATTACACTTCAGGGTTATCACTTTCCCTTGAAGGTAGGTTGGAAACTCCTCAGTTGCACAGTTAAATGGATTTTGAAATAAGGAAATTTTCTTTTTACTTGCACTAAGATCCAAAAAAGTGCTTCTGGAACTGTAGTTTGTGCTCAGAAAATATCTCTACTACAAGTCTGTATGGGAGTGCAGCTCTTGTTTCCTTGGTAGCACAAGGAAGTGCATGAAGCAGCTTGACTTGTGATTCCAGTGTTAGTTGTTGTTGACTTACTGCAGGATAAGTTTACATGTAAGCACTGTTTTGCTTTGCAGTTTTAGGTTTGAATTCATTAAAAAACATGAATCCTGTAGCAAAAGCTATATTCCCAAGCTCTTGTTTTGTAATGGTAATTGAGGATGGTTTTTACTGGGGGAACATTTCAACCTTGGACCTGGGAACAACAAATTACAATAAAACTTTACCGAGCACGTGGTAGAGCAAGTCAAGATATTCGGTTTCTATTTCTGACAAAAATTTACAGAACTGATGATGGTTAAGTCAACAAAATGAAGTTCACCATTGACACTGCTGGTTCAATAAGATGATGGATTTAAATATTTTCTGCAAACTCCCTGCTGATGAATAAGCATAGACTTTAAACACCTTACATTTTCACAAGGTTTGTAAATTTGTCCAACTAGGTCCTTTTCTGTTTTACACATTTTTACCCTTTTCAGTTGTAATTCATCAGTTGTGCTGAATTAGTCTTTTCTCAGCTTTGAAAACATTATCACCTGTAGCGGTTCCATGCAGATTTTTAGAGGCTACTTCTATAGTTCAAACTCCTTGAATAATCAGCACTTGACTCCTTAAATAAACAGTGAATAGCGTCACTTATATTTGTGGATTTACTATGAGCCAAGGAAAACCACTCAAAATCATTTGCTGCCCTGTTTTTCAATTGCTTATTGATGTATCCCAGTATCCTCAAGTTTCTGACTAACAGTACTCACTAAAAATTATCTTAAACAAGTTTATTTTCTCTGGACACATTTGTTGAGCTTCTGCAATCTAACGCAGTTGAACTCACTATCAGTAAATTATTTTCCTTACTTAGCCAGCAAATGGGCCACTTGAAACTTACTTTGGTTGAAGCCTCGTATTTTTTTTCTTTTTCTTAAATTTTTTATCCTCACCCAAGGACATTTTAGACAGATTGGGGGAGGGGAGAGAGAGAGAAACATCGATGTGAGAGAGACACACCGACTGGTTACCTCCTGCACGACTCTGACCAGGGCCAGGGATGGGGACGAACTGCAACCAGGTACTGCCCCGGCCAGAATGGAACTCATTGGTCCACAGGCTGACGCTCTAACCACTGAGAAAAATCAGTCAGGGCTGAAGCCTCATTTGTTTGTTTTGGTTTTGGTTTTGGTTTTGGTTGTTTTATCCTCACCTGAGGACATTTTTGTATTTATCTTCAGATAGAGGGGGAAGGAGAGAGGGAGGAAGAAAGAGAGAGAAACATCGACTGGCCACCACCCACACGACCCCAAGTGGGGCTGGGGACAAACTGCAACCACATGCCCCTAGCGGGAACCAAACCCAGGTCTCTCTGGTCCGCAGCCCGACACTCTAACTGCTGAGCCAAGCCGGCCAGGACCTGAAGCCCCATTGTTTTTTTTAATTAATTTATTTATTTTTGTTCTAGATGTTTCTACTTTTTCCCCCACTGATTCCCCCTCCCCCCCCCTCCCCGCCCTCTCCCCAGCTTTGTTGTCCATGTCCATTATTCATGCATACATGCATATAAGTTCTGTGGTTTATCTCTCCCCCACCACCCCCTCTTCTGGGGATTGTCAGTCTGTATGTACTGACACTTCCACGTCTCTGGGACTACCCCATTCCTCAGACTGTTATGTTAATTATATTCCACAAATAAGTGAGATCATATGATACTTGTCTTTCTCTGTTTGGCTTGTTTCGCTTAGGATGATACTTTCCAGGTCCCTCCATGTCGTCTCAAAGGATAAGAGATCTTTCTTTTTTACAGCTGCATAATACTCTATTGTGTATATGTACCACAGCTTTTTTATACATTCATCTACTGAAGGACATTTGGGCTGTTTCCAGATCTTAGCTATTGTAAATAGTGTTGCTAAAAACGTGGGGGTACATATATTCTTTCTGATTGGTGTTTCAGGTGAAGCCTCGTTTTTTTATTTTTGTGAAGAAATATTTTGTGATTAGATATTTCATTTTAACTTTTCTAATTTTTTACACTGTAGCTTTCCTGTGAACTAGGAATATTGTGATGAGTGTTTAATCTGCTAATATCAATACATGTTTTATTACTTTTGCAGTTATGATGCTGTTGCGTAATAAGCACAATCGTTACCATCTAATCTGATGACCGAATAATCCACACTCCTCTGGATTATACAATGTGTGACATTCAGAGTCCATCTTGATTTGATGTAATGAGTATGTACCTGTAGAAATGTCACAGTATGGTGATGTACATGGCACTTGAAATGCTATCAAGTTATAATCGTATCACTGCAACTCACAGTGCACAGATCACCATTGCAAAGCAGTGAGAGTGCCACTTAGTCTCTGTCACAACTGTTCAACTCTGTCATTATAGCATAAAAGCCATAGACAATATGTAAACAAATGTGTATGACTATTCCAATCAAATGATGAACACTGAAATCTGAATTTCACAGAATTTTCACCCATTACAAAAACTTCTCTCCTTTAAAATGAACATTTAAACGTGTAAAAACCATTCTTGGTCCTCAACAAGAAAAAATAGGCACCAGGGCTTAATTTGGCCCATGGGCCATAGTTAGCCAGCTCCTGACCTAGTCTTTTCCTAGTATAACAGGACTTTGGGGGAGTTTTCTGTTATGAAATTTTATTCATATGAGATCTTAAAATCGACATCTTGACCTGCATTCTGGATTTTCACATAATTGAAACTGTTTTATAGAATGCATACATGCTGACTTCTGTTTTCAAGATTGGTCTCCTTTCTTCTTTTAGGTAATTTTCCACTTGTACATCAAGATGGAAAGCTCAGATTCTAACGATAAAGGAAGTGGTGATCAGTCTGCAGCACAGCGCAGAAGTCAGATGGACCGATTGGATCGGGAAGAAGCTTTCTATCAATTTGTAAATAACCTGAGTGAAGAAGATTATAGGCTTATGAGGGATAACAATTTGCTAGGCACCCCAGGTATGCTGCAATATGTACTTTAAGAATTTATATATGTAATTTGTTGGTCTTTTAAAAATAGCCTGTTTTGAAAATCAGTTTCTTTAGCCATTTATGAAGTGTGATTTTAATGCAAGGTATATAGAATGACATTTACTGCTGTATTTATTACTTAACTCTGTTCACTCTTATTTGGAATTATGCTATATCATGTTTTTAGTTATGAACTTATTGTAAGCTGATTTGAAAAGAATGGAGCTGAACCTTTTTTTTTTTTTTTTTCTTATTTAACTTACCAGACATGAGTCTTAAGTGTGGAAGAGCTAATGAGAACTTTAGTTCCTAGGACAGACTTACTCTGTCTTGTCATCTCTGATTTCTGAATATGTCCCAATCAGTCCTCCAGAGCTAGCCCTGGGTAAAATGTTCAGTTATTCAGAACTTTGTGCTTGGTTATTCTTCTGCCCAATTAGGTCCCATTTGATCCTAGTTAAAATTCATTATCTCCCAATGTCCTTATTTCTATTTAATACCAGTTGTTCAGTGATTCCTTGCATTTTAAAAGGTCAGGTGTTAGTTAATGAAAGGAAGTGCATTTTGAACCATCAGTACCGCATTTCAATCCGAATATTTAAGTTGACCTTCTGACTCTCATTTATTGGTATGTCAGTCTCTCACTCAGTCTTGGTTTAAAATACAGGTAGTAATATCTACCTCCCAGAGTTGCAGACTTAAAGAATGAGGTATTATATGCAAAAGCATATAGTAAACTAAAAAAATTTTGTACGAGTATAAATTGTAATGTCATGCTCCCAAAGAAATGAATTTTACCCAGGTTCCCTACTCATTGCTTTTCATCTCAGATGAGTAAGTCATTGATTTTTATTTATAATTTGGCAAACATTTTAAAACTATTTTCAGGTGAAAGTACTGAGGAAGAGTTGCTGAGAAGATTACAACAAATTAAAGAGGGCCCACCACCACAAAACTCAGATGAAAATAGAGGTATATTTTGCTTTGCAGGGGGTGGGTAGAGGATGGAGTGGATAAAGAACTTTTTAACAGTAAATGTCAGCCAAAGATTTTCCAGAAAAGGCATAAATTAATTTGGTGTTAAATAACTGCTCCTAAAAAGAACAATGGCATTTTCTTGATATTTTTTTAAAATGTGAATTTGTTTTTTTGGGTTTTTTTTCCCCTTCTTCACCTTTGGGTTGTTTGTGTTCATTGGAACATAGTAAGAAATGGCCTATTTAAATGTATTTTTTTTTTCCTTAATTTTCCACATCTGTTGAAATTTCCTTCTACCTACTGAATTATTCCTTTTTTAAATTTTTTATGAACATGTGGGTTTCTCACCAGCAGAAAGAAATGCTGTATCCTCTAACCTAGTGTTTCTCAACAGGGTATAATTTTGCCCCTTATGGGACACTAGAAATGCCTGGAGAGATTTTTGTTTGTCAATACTGGGTATTTGTTGCTGGCATCAGCGGTGGAGGCCAGGGATACAGTTAAACATCCTAGCATCCTGATGTTTCTCTCCCTATGTGAAGTAGAGAATTTCACTATCTAACCTAAGAAACTATAATAACAGTCTGGTCTTGAATGTGCCATTATATGTACTGTGCTAGGTTCAGACTATTCATTTGGTCTGATCTCCAATTTCATGTTAACTTAAAATCTTGGTAATATGAAGAAGTACTCAAATACTTTCAAACCTATAAACCTTATTTATATTATATTTTTGCAATGGCTATTATAGCAGTCTTGTATTTAAAATTTTTTTTTCTTGATTTTATATAGAAAGGAAGGGAGAGGGAGCGAGAGATAGAGACATCGATGAGAGAGAACATTGATTGGCCACCTCCTGCATACCCACCACTGGGGATGGGGCCCACAACCTGGGCATGTGCCCTGACCGGGAATTGAACTGGCGACCTCTTGGTGTATGGGTCAGCGCTCATCCACTGAGCCACACTGGCCGGGCGCAGTCTTGTATTTTTAAACGTCCTATATTATCAAAGGCACTTAAGTCAACAGCCTAGAAGAAATGTTACAAATTAATGAAAATTTGACAGAAATGTAATTTCAACTAAAATACTAGCCCTATACCTTAACTGGTGTTTACCTTGTTTGATACCAAGAGTGTTTTGAAAATGAACTGAAAAATATTGTCTTCTGACAATCCACAGTTGTATACTAGGCTCTGTATGTAATGAATTATTGAAATAGACTTCTTCCAGATTCCCGTTAAGAAAATTCTCTAAATTTTTCTTGGATTAGCTTGCTCTTTTGAAATCAAATGGACATTTTCCTGCCTTTACTTGCAAGTCTATGTAAAATAGTTAACAAAAATCTGTAAATGTGAAATCTTTTCAGAATCTTTTTCCCCCCTAATACAAAGTTTCTGAGTACTGTTATATGATTGTGCTAATTTTAGTCGTTCTTTTTTCTTTTTTCCCTCTTTTACAAACAGGTGGAGAATCTTCAGATGATGTGTCTAATGGTGACTCTATAATAGACTGGCTTAACTCTGTCAGACAAACTGGAAATACAACAAGAAGCGGACAGAGAGGAAACCAATCTTGGAGAGCAGTGAGCCGGACTAATCCAAACAGTGGTGATTTTAGATTCAGTCTAGAGATCAATGTTAACCGTAATAATGGGAGTCAGAATCCAGAGAATGAAAATGAGCCATCTGCAAGACGTTCTACTGGAGAAAACATGGATAACAACAGCCAAAGGCAAGTGGAAAATCCACGATCTGAATCAACATCTGCAGGGCCATCCAGATCAGAACGAAATTCAACTGAAGCGTTAACGGGAGAAGGCCCACCTACTAGGGGTCAGAGAAGGGCAAGGAGCAGGAGCCCAGACCACCGGAGAACCCGAGCAAGAGCTGAAAGAAGTAGGTCACCTCTGCATCCAATGAGTGAAATTCCACGAAGATCTCATCATAGTATTTCATCTCAGACTTTTGAGCATCCTTTGGTAAATGAGACTGAGGGAAGTTCTAGAACCCGGCACCATGTGACACTGAGACAGCAAATAAGTGGACCTGACCTGCTAAGTAGAGGTCTTTTTGCAGCTTCTGGAATAAGAAATGCCTCACAAGGAGCAGGTTCTGCAGACACAACTGGTAATGGCGAATCTACAGGATCAGGACAGAGGCCTCCAACCATAGTTCTAGATCTTCAAGTGAGAAGAGTCCGTCCTGGAGAGTATCGGCAGAGAGATAGCATAGCTAGCAGAACTCGGTCAAGGTCTCAGACACCAAACAACACTGTCACTTATGAAAGTGAACGAGGAGGTTTTAGGCGTACATTTTCACGTTCTGAGCGGGCAGGTGTGAGAACCTATGTCAGTACCATCAGAATTCCAATTCGTAGAATCTTAAATACTGGTTTAAGTGAGACTACATCTGTTGCAATTCAAACCATGTTAAGGCAAATAATGACAGGTTTTGGTGAATTAAGCTACTTTATGTACAGTGATAGTGATTCAGAGCCTAGTGGCTCAGTCTCAAGTCAAAATGTGGAAAGGGCAGAGTCACGGAATGGAAGAGGGGGTTCTGGTGGTGGTAGCAGTTCTGGTTCCAGTTCGAGTTCAAGTTCTAGTTCCATTTCCAGTGGTGAAAGTTCAGAGACTAGCTCAGAGGTGTTTGAAGGCAGTAATGAAGGAAGCTCATCATCAGGCTCAGGTGCCAGGCGAGAGGTTCGACACAGGGCCCCAGTAACGTTTGATGAAAGTGGCTCTTTGCCCTTCCTTAGCCTGGCTCAGTTTTTCCTCTTAAATGAGGATGATGATGATCAACCTAGAGGACTCACCAAAGAACAGATTGACAACTTGGCAATGAGAAGTTTTGGTGAAAATGATGCATTAAAAACCTGTAGTGTTTGCATTACAGAATATACAGAAGGCAACAAACTTCGTAAACTACCTTGTTCCCATGAGTACCATGTCCACTGCATCGACCGCTGGTTATCTGAAAATTCTACTTGTCCTATTTGTCGTAGGGCAGTCTTGGCTTCCGGTAACAGAGAAAGCGTTGTGTAATTGAGGTCTGAGCTCCCGGCTGTGTACCTGGTATAGTGATGGGCAAACAGGAATCACTTGCTTTATGTCCACTTTTTGAGTGGTGCTTAAATGTAAAGTTGCAACCTGAATTGAGTCATTGCTTTCTGAATGAATCATTGTCCTTTCTCCAATTTCTGTTCCAGAATAAAAGGAAATATTTAAAAAGCAATGTTTTAGGACATAAAATCTAATTTCAGTATTAGTAATTGATATTACTAATGATTTATTATATATGTTTATCAGTTTCTCCTTTGTTACCTTAAAAGATCTGCCTTAGCAGTGGCTCTTATTTGTTTCATGTTGATCTTTAGAGTTTCCCATGCCATAGGAGAGAGGGGCTAAGGAAATGATCAGTTTAGACTAAGTTACAGTACATGTTTTATAAGTGATTGCTTAAAGCTATACCATTTCCAGTTATTAGTTGGCACAAATTCAGCTACATGCTGAATATCATTTGTTCACCTTTCAGACAAGGTGATATTGGACATGTCAGTGTAAATAACACTAAGGCTAGATCTTCTAAGTGTATGACTGTCTCCTAAGCCCATCACTGTGGCACACTGTAGAGTGAGCTTATAGTTTAATTGAGATATTTATCTTGTGGAAATATTAAAAAAGCCTATGCTTGTGTAAGTGAAAAAAATCACATTCATTTGTTTAAAAATGTAAAGCTATTTTGTAGAGGCTCAGTACTTTTCCAATGCACTGTTGTAATAATGCATTAAAAATTGTAAAGTACCATGCATAGAAATGAAAAAACTGCTTTTCGTGAGCCAACATAGTAAAAAACAAAAACACACACCAAACAAAGTACAAAGCTCCTTTTGTAAGTGTGTACATGTCAAGAGCAGAACATATCTATAATATTTAATGTATGTGAACAGCTACTGTGACATGCAAAGGAAAGGTCAGAGTGCAGAATTGAACTGCGTTGAAGACCAATGGAAATTGTGTATTTTAACTTGGATTTAGGCAGGCAATGAAAGACAGGAGGAGAAAACTACTCTGGAAGAATGTAAACTTTTCATGAAGACAGTAATCATACTGGATTCATATGATGAGATCTTTGACACAGTATTCTACTTGAGCTCATGAAGTAGATGAACAAATTAGGCAGAGCTTTGGTTTAAGAAAACAAGCCACTACCACCTAGCACAATTTACATTGTTGTTTTTACAAGTCTGCTACTCAAAAAGAAGAAGAAGAAAGTGGAAGAAGGAGACCATAAATCATTTTTAGCATAAGAATTGGTACAGATGTTGTTTTTGAGATTTGTCATTTAAGGTACCAGTGCACACTTGTTAATATTTCATTACTATCTCTAACACAGACTTAACATTTCACATTTAAAGACCAGTTGAATAATTAGTTGAGAGATTTTTATTTTTTGTTGACAGTGAGTCCTGTTGGGTTATTTGAAATGCAAATTTCAATTGTGCTGCCCATATCTGAAGATGAGACCGCTGACTTATGATCCATGGGACATGCACTTGATGCTATTTCCTTAATAGTGACAATAGGTTTGTGAAGAACCTCAGTACTCTTGCCGAAATTTTCTTTTGAGGCTGGTTGGGGTTAGGATTAGTCTGACTGTGGAAGACTGTGTTTGTTTTTCTGGGAAAACCTAATGGGCCTTTAATAAAGTGAGCTGACTACCCAGGCATAATCAGATGCTCAACAAAATAAATAAGACTGCTTTAAGGAACTATCTGTTTACCTTAACTGCTATAAATTTAGCTGTAAAGATTATTTCAATGCTCATACTTTCATGTTTTCCTCTCGCTTTCAATCCTACCTAAGAATCAAGGAATTAACTTGTAAATATGGTAGTTGTTTGCTAAGGATATGTACTGCTCTTGCAAGGAAATAATGTTCAAACAAAGCTTCACTTATTTTTTTTAATATAAACAGAAATCACTGTTTATGGCGCTTATATAATACATTTTATCTTTTTAAAAAATTGTCCATGTAAAAGTCAGGATTCCTTTATATTTGTGAGCCTCCTTGTCGCCTTTCCTAAGGGTGTGTAATCGATGGTTTTCAGATCTGCAGGGTAGTCCCGATTGGCTAAAAACAAACCCATTTTCCTCTTGGTATACGATGTCCCATTACTATAGGCGTGTTCATTTTCTAGTTTAAAAACAGCTGCAGCTCATTTTAAGCATAAAAGTTAACAGTTATCTCCCTAACCTCCCAAGATATATTACCCATTTGTGAAGTATTAAAGTAAGAAGTAACTCGTGCAGAATTCTGGTTATGAAGATAGATATTGAACCTATTCATAAACACTGGAAATAGAATTTTAAGTTTTTAGCCCTCAGTAGAATGCACATATGGGGCATGTGCATGTGGACACCTTTTTCAATAGCACTCAATTATTTCCATTGGATTGTATAGAATGAATACAAAATTTTAGTGGAATTTACTTTTTTTTTTTTCGTGCAAAGTCCATGACTAATATGTAGTTACTAGTGGACATTGAAGACAGGTCATTTGTAAGTGTCAGATGTACAATGGAGAAGAAAGATCTTTTTTCCCCACCAACATCTAAACACTTATTCCCTTGAGGGAGCATTTTCTTACAAAACACTTTACATTTCATTTTGTATCTTTGCACTTTTTCTTAATTAAAGAAAGGTTCTGTCCTGGAACTTAATGCAATAATAGGAACAAGAAAAAAAAACAATGTTGGGAGTTTACAGTGTTCAAAGCATAGGGGAAAGTACTAAAAACCGAATTTCCTTGACTATTTCAGGTATTTTTTTAAAAAGCCACTTAGTAATCTGAGACATTTAAGGTGTTCCATTGTTTAACTCCAAGCAGCTGACAAGGTTGCGATTTATTACTACTAAAGACAAAATTGAGTAAGTTAAGTTTCAAGTTTGCAGACTTTGTAGCAACACTAGAAGATGGGCCATGTTTTCAATTCGGAATATTTGCTCTAAAAAGAAAACATTAGTTTTACCTCAGTGGTGTTAGTGATTAATGGAGGTGGGGATTGAGAAAAGTGTTCATATTAGTGTGGAATATGGGGAATAATTGTACAGTTAACAAGAAAAATGTTTAGCACCATTTTATGTATACAAAATCTCTAAAAAACATGGTCACTGGAGTTTATCCAAGCGTAAAGATTAGGAAACTGGTTATCTGTAAGTGTTACCTCAAGTAATTTACCCCCCGGGAAAACATGGCCTTTCCATGCCAAGTATTCAGTGTCTCAAATTATATTTATGAAGGGTTATCACTTAATATGCTTTATTTTTAACCACCTGCTTCCCAGATGTCCAAGACGGCCAAGACTTTCAGTCAGTTCCCAAAGTACCCATGTGATAGGGAGGTGAATGTTGCAAAATGCCTCTTAAAAGGCCATTTTCACAGCTTGTTAGAATACAGTGGCACCTTGTTGCTGTTGATACTTCTAAAGATAGAGGATATTTTTACACGCACACCCCTTCTTCTCCTTTGTTTTTTGTTTTTTGTTTTTTAATGAAGGAAAAGTATTTATAATCTACCTTATTTGAATTTTAAGTTTTACTTTACTGGTTTCCCTGTCAAATGTATTACCAAGATTAAGTACTTAGAAGCCACCTTTGCAGGGCACTTTTATTCTTGGCTTATAAGACTATGCTACTTTCTAAAATATTCTGTACCTTAGTAATGCAAGAGATTGAAAAGGCACGTGTCAAAGTGTCAGGCGTTTTCTTCCTTAGTATAATTCTTCAGGATGTTTTATATTCAGTAACAGTGTTGTAATTCATTGAGTTAACTTAGTAAATTGTATGCTTTTGAAAACAACATTTGAAAATGTAAATCAACATAACGTGCTTTATTTGTAAAATTAAAGTGCAAGGTCTGAATTAGTATTTTAACTTATTTTTAAATCAAATTTTAATAAGCAACTAAGAAACAGCCATGAAAACAGCTGTAAAAATTTTAGCATTCTGAAATTGAGTTCTTAACTGGAACATTTCTAAAATAATATCTAGTATTCCCAACAAGTGGTGATCTCACTTGATTTAAGTAAACCCATTTTATATCTAAAATACAACATAAAATAGAGCTGTTATTGAAGTGCTGGAACTTAAAAGGGATAACAACAGTTTATCAGTTTTATGATTATTCTCATTTCTATATAGGTGTTGTAATTCAAATTTAAAGGAAATAGACACACCCTCTAACTCATAAAATTGTAGTGAGTTATTTGTTTTTAATGATTTTTTTTCTTGCTAAAAACCCACAAGCTGCTTTATAGTCACTTGGACTGAGTGACCGATATCTTAAAGACATGCAGTGAAAGTGAACCCCATGATACCACTGTGCCTAATTATTTCAGGGTTCCTCATCTTGCAGATTTATTCCAATACCAAGGTATGGTTGAACCAGCTGCCCAGCCTTAACTCCATTTAGTACCCCTCTGCTAACATCCTTTTAACTGATTGGTTTGTATGTGTTTTAACTGTCCAATGTTTGGATTTTACCTCTTGATAGGTCCATTTGTCCTTGGTGCTGCTTTTAAATATGTAGGGCCATGTGATCAGGTATCAAGTTTCGTAGGTACGCAGTTGGCCTGGATATGTATCTGTGCCTGTTTTATCTGCTCCCAGGAAGAGCTGCTTTGGTATAGATGTTTACTTTGGTTCACATAAAGAACTGGGCAGCAATCTTGGAAAGCTTTCTGAAGTCCGAGAACCTGAAGGGATTTGGAGGGGGAATAGCAACAAAGGCTGCTTTTATGTCTTTGAACACGAAGCACATAAATGTATGTTCTGTAAAGACTAAAGTGATTGTTACACCAGGGCTTCCTGACCTCTAGGAGCACAAAGCGAAGTGAATTTGGTGAGCTTGCTTTACCTGGTTTCTCATTTTCTTTCGATTTAACCCTAAACATCACACCCCTCTCCAGTGTGTAGCCGGCAAACTCCTGGTTGGGAAGCCCTGTCTGAAAATCTGAGAATGTACCCAGTTTCCTTTTTTTTTTTCTTTCTTTCTTTTTCCTTTTTTTCTTTTTTTTTCTTTTTTTTTTTTTTTGTACAGTGCTTTATACCTGCTAAAGATTAACTTGTTTAATGCAAAACAAGACCTTGAAAGGTCAGTCATATGAAAGCTGGTTTGATTATGAATAGTTATCTTTTAGGAAGAAGCTTTCTCCCTATGTAAGATGTCATACTGCAGATTTAAAATATAGACTATCAATAAAATGCATGAAGTGATCATTTGTGCTTGATCATCTCTCCTTGGGTTTTTTCTTAAAGGGGAATTTGATAAAGGTTCTGTTTCAAATTGATGTCAAATGGACTTGATTTTTAGAATCAAGTGGAATTACAGCACAACCTTGATTTTTTTATTCCCCTCACTGGTATGAGTGGGCAGGCACTGGTTTATGGGATATAACTTTCATTCCGTGTTGTATAGTTTAATATCTTAATCTTGCAGTGGTAAAATAAAAGATTAAAGTATATTCCAATACAAGAATCCTGGAAAGATTTACATAAATGACATTTTAATAGATGCATCTTCGCTATTGTATTTTCACCGTAGCCCCGACCACTCCCTTGCTTGACCTCTAAATACAAAATCTTGTCTAGGTGTGCATGTATGCTCTTGTAGCTTCTGTCTTCCATTGATACTTCCAACCTCTTAAACATGTTGCCTAAGCCACTAAGATGTCCTTGTTTTTAAGTAGGTTGTCCCATTCTGATACCTGGGTGACCGTTCCCCTTGGTATTGGAATTCATTTAGCTGGTGAATATTTTAGCTGATTTTATTATTTTATTTCCTCTGGTTCCTGCAGAGCCTTGTCATGGGCATAGGAATTCAGTTACTTGTGATAATTTTGGGGTGGTCAACTCTTAGCCTCGTGATCTTCCCAGGGTTTTACTGTTAGTGCCGTTCATGATTCCGTTCTCTGAAAGTCAAGTACACCACTGAAATGTTTCCATCCTAGACAACAGAGTAAGCCAGCGCACAAGCATCTTTTGAGGAATATTCAGTGACAAAGGGCCGTTACCGAGAACAGGATCTGGTAAATTGGAGCAGGTTATAAACTATATTGTTAATGGCCATTTGAAAAATAGGAAATGAAAGCCAGGGTCCCGTTTCTTTGAAGTCTTTGAATTCAGGCAAGATTAAAATTGAAGGCCTTGCAAATGGATTACTAATAGCTACATTTTTTTTTTCTGATTGCTATCAGGCATTGTATTAAGCACTATATAAATTATTGAATCCTCACAGTGATTCTGAGGTGTATTATTACCACCCTGTTTTATAGGTGATGTAGCTGAGAAAGATACATTTGGTAATTTGCCCAAGATCACCCAGTAAGTGGCAGAGTATTTCTAGGCAGATCTCTGATTCCTGCTACCATATGGCCCCCAATTTGTTTGGTTTTTGTTTGTTTTTAATATTTATCCCAAGTCCTAGATTAGGTTACTTATGAGGTATGATTTCTTAGACCAAACATTGGTTTTGGCTAGTTTGCCAAGGAAAATTTAAAGGGCAAATCTGAAGAGGATTAAAGGTTACATATTATAAATTTCATTAAATGTCTTTGAGCATTACCAAATACACCTTAGTACTATATCAAGGCCTTTCATTTCTGAAAGTTTGGAAGGGGTTTAGAATAGGTTTGGGAATCTTTAATGTCAGTAGTCATCTCGGGCCCTTATATGTGCTGTTGGTCCCAGTTAAGACTTGATTCAAAAATATGACTTAGAAAATTTCAGCTTTTTAAAAGGATGCTAGCTAGCTTATTGGCATCCAAGTAAATGCCCTTTAAAGTTACCTTGGGGAGACATAGGCATTCCAAGCATGTCATTGCTCAGAAAATATTTGGAACTGCATTAAAATTGCTATCAGAACAAATATGAGTAACAGAGATGCAGCCCTCTTCAGTATGTTCATGTTATTTGCCACCCTTGATAGCAGTCTTGGCTGTTCCCAAAAATTATGTCTTCCCCAGTGGATTGGAGATTTGCTACACTTAAGCATATTCAGAAGAATGTACTATTCACTCTAAAGGCAATTACAAACAAAGCATGTGAAATAATAGGTGCAGTAGTGTTTACAGTAAGTAAATGGCTATGGAGGAGAGTATTTTGAGAAGATTATCACACCTCATTCGACATTTGAAGCACAGGGAGAAAGACAATCTCAGAAGCAGGCATTAGCGGGGAGATGTGTAAATAGCTGATAAAGTATTACCAAAACCTTAAAAAATGTACATACTATAGTTATCCATCCCCATTCAAATGATATTTGAAAGGAGCAGCGAGGAGTAATGGGGAGAGCCAGGGCTCTTTAGAGTGTGTCCTCAGCTAATAGGAGATAAGTGTGTATTGGGCTCCCACTACGTTCTAGGCTTCTAGGCATTGTGTTAGTGACTGTGATGTACCCACTTGTTAAAAAGATTCACACTTGGTCCCTGTCTGCACTAAATATT